CAGAATTGGTCCTAGCACTGAACCCTGTGGAACTCCATAATTAACCTCAGTGTGTGAAGAGGACTCTCCATTTACATGCACAAATTGGAGTCTTCAGGCAGATTCTAATGTAGCTGAACCGACTGTCTGAAGTTACCTGGGCATTTCTCACCATGAACAGATGCTTGCTTTCTGTGTGTTTATCAACCTAATCACCACTTTCTGGTCTGAATTTATTTATTTGCTTTATGTCATTTATTTACTTGCATTTTATTTGCCCCAAAAACAGTTATGTACAAAATGACGGAGAACACAGCAGGTCCGTACAAAGACAGACTTGACGAAAAGAAAAAAGTACGAGGAAAAAAATCAAAGGAGTGAAAGGGTTAGACCCATACGGGCATACAGAGTGGAGTAAGGACGTCAGCGTGCTGAACAACTTTCATCACGGACAATGATGATGAAGAATTTTTTTGCTTGAAGACTCCACAGCCGAATGTTTGTTACAAAGCCAGATTGGGTCCATTTGTAACCCTCCAGACTTTTTGTAGGCTTTTAAAGAGTCCCCCAAGTAGTGCGATGGGAAGTTTATAAGGTAGTTATGTATGTCGGGATAGCATAGATCTGGGACGCTGAAATACTTTTGAAAAGCACGCTGGGAGCATTATACGGGTCGGTAATATTTAACCTATTTATTTTTTGATATACAGCTCGATGTCATGCGAATTAAAGTGGGATGAATACTCCGATGGCTGAAAAGTTTCTGCAGTGCCGCTTACGGTGCCGCTATTCATGTTGCTGCCAAAATGGTCACCTGACAACTGGTAGTCACGTGGGGTCCGGAGCTTATTTTGCTTCCTGCAACTGGTCTGTCGGATCTTTTTTCCTATTTCCGTTGTTGTTTTTCCTATATCCGTTGTGTTTTTTCCTATTTCTGTTGTCGTTTTTCTTATTTCCATTGTGTTTTGTGTGCTTTTGCAGCGTTTTTCTTATTGCTGGTGTTTCCTGAGGTTGCAGTCTGTTTGGCCTCTCAGGGCCACCATAGTTTTAGCTGTTTTGTGGTTGTAGAAATTTTGTGAGGTTTAACTTGAGATTCTGGCGTTTTGGGCAAAATAAATGTATATTTAAAAATCTATTCTGGATTTTAATGAATCGATATCACGTTATCCAAGCCAGAATCTATTTTAATCAATAAATCGATAATCAAAACCCACCCCTAGTAATAACTATCTGAAAGATGGGTGGAAACAAGCTTTGTTGGTTATGAAATTATGCATTTTCTAAACTGCAATCTTGTGTGCATCAAATGAACCTTGGTTATACAGTACTGTGCAAGTCTTGAGGCTTTATAGTTTTCTTGGAAAAAGGGAAATAGGTGGAAATAGATTATTAAAATCTGCAAACACAAATGCAAATATAATAGATATAGCAAAAGCAGAGTTTGTACTGTTCTAGCAAGCTTGAAAGTCAGTATTTGATATGACCAGTTTTTTTCTTCAATACACCGCCTGAACTCTCTTCGGGAAACTTTCTCTTAATTACCTTTTGTTTTGTTTTCTGTCAAGATGAACCCACACTGCTCGAAGAATTTTGAGGTCTGGGCTCTGGGAAGGCCAATACATGACTGATAGCCACACCACTGGCTAGAATGCAGTCCCAAAGCATGACATAGCCTCCACTCTGTTCGAGATGACTGTTGTATCTCTGTCCTGACCACCTCTTTACATGATGATGATTTGAACCAGAAATGTCACAAATTTAATCAATAAGACCTGTTGCCACTGAGTTTTAAGTTTGTTTTTATCTAATTTGCCATACACCAGCCTTTTCTCCATCAGTGTTTCCCTTCTTTAAGAATGGCCTTTATGAGAACCACCATTCCAGTGAAAACATTTCTGGTGAAGTTTCCACAAATAGTAGATGGATGAACTGGGGACCTGCTGCAACTCGTGTCCTGTTTCAGGTTTTAAGTTGTCTGTTATCTGTAGGCACAACACTGTTTCATCAATTAAGTAAGGTGCCTTCTAACTTAGGCTACATCCGCATCATTTTCTCTTTGTTTCGGCCTCCCGACCACAATTTCCCCGAAGGAAAACGCAGCGTTTTCAGGACGCTCTCGAAAATGCATACATTCGAAGACGGTGCTTATGTGTCACAGTGTGGACAGCGAAAACTGAGACTTTTGAAAACGATGATGCATGTTAGTCATATGATGCAGTCATGTGACCAATTTAACAAATATAGCAGAGGGCATTATACAGCAGTTGTTTTGTTTGCTCTCAATTTTACAGCCCTAACAAAGATCAATATCAGTTTGTACATGCTTCAGATAGCTTTTCTTCAAATTCTTTAATTCTCACTCACTTTTGCAACTTTGTACTTTTGTGTTACTCGCAGCAACAACTCCACCTCATTGTTAGCCCATTTAAAAAACTCGGTGCATTTACCAGAAAATAAATAAACGGCAGAAAGAAATGAGGCAGGCCGAATCTTCTTGCGTTTCACTCATGCGCAGTACTGGAACATAAGCGTTTTTGGCCGTTTCAATGTGGACGCTCAACTCACTAATGTGGACGCGGAGCGTTTTCAGACAAAAATGCTGTTTTCACATCTATCAGGCCTAGTGTGGACGTAGCCTTAAGGGATGATTTTGAGTGAGTCATAGGTCAGTGTTAAGTAGCTTAACAACCAATAAAAACATTCCTCTCAAAATGATCAGGTACAAGGACTAGACTGAAAATGAGTGACAATGCAACCATTCTCCAAAGAAAATCTTGGAAAGACCTTCAGAAAGTCAAGAGAGTGCTCAAGACCACTTTAAAAAATCTCCTTGGAAAAAAAAATATGAAAATTTGGGGCATGGCTCAAGACTTTTTTCACAGTACTGTATTTCATTTCCTCCTTTGTTAATAGTAATATGAACAATTAACTGGTTCATAGAGTCATAGTTATGTACATCAATGTACTTCTTTCGTTAGAAATGTCCCTTTAATTTGGCATACCCAGGCCTTTTGACCCGTGAGCCCTGCAAACGTTTATCTGCGTGAAAAAAGCTCAGAAAGCTTATTTTCAATAACAAAAAAATCATATTTTGGAAAACATTTATCATGCACAAATAGTACAACATACAAATCCAGGGGTAAATATGCCAGATGTTATCAATTATCTGTACTTGTAGAAGAATGTTATGGTAAAAGTATGACAACCTACATACAACCCACAAGTATTTGCTTATATTATAGTGCCTGAGCATTATAACAGACTGGGTCATTTCTGCTGACAAATATTTTAAACAATTAATGGACTTGAACAAAGATCCAGTACTTACCCAGTAAACAAAACCAAACGTTTCACGAATATTCTAATCCTAACTCAGAAATTTACAAAAAAACAAAAACATAATTACTTAACAGAAGCAACCATTAACACATCTACAGAAATCTGAACACAAGTTCCCCGAGTGTGAGAACGATTATCCTTTTTTGCACATGTTGGTTCTTGATTCTAAGAGTCTATGTGACCCTGTGTAGTATGAACAGCTGACAGACAAGGTTCCATACCTGATATATAAACAGGCCTGAACATAAGTGGGAGCTACTCTGGGATTAAACTTCAAGATGAATGCCCTCCGGACTGCATTTTTCTTTGCTCTAGGCCTCTGTATTGGTGAGTACAGCATGTCTGTTGCTGTTAAACTATACATATCATGAATAGAAACACATCCCATTAGGGTATAAATCATAGTTCTATCCTGTGCTTGTGCTTCAGCCCAGTCCTTAGACTACAAGGCACTCAACCAGTTCAGAAATATGATCCTGTGTGTAATGCCTGATAGCTGGCCTGCTCTTGACTATGCTGATTATGGCTGTTATTGTGGAATGGGGGGCTCTGGCACACCCATGGATGATCTGGATAGGTAATGGTTTAGCCATTCTACTTAACACATAAAAAACCAAAAGTAATCACCATTGTTCATGTTTTGACTTGTAGGTGCTGCCAGGTGCATGACCAGTGTTACACTGATGCTATGCAGCACCCTGAATGCTGGCCCATCCTGGACAATCCTTACACTGAGTTCTATGACTATAATTGTGATGACCAAAATAAAAAGATCACCTGTGGCAGTGAGTACTCAAAAAAGCTGATTGGCATTTAACTTTATAGTAGCACTTGTTGGCCTTCTGGTTATTGCAAAGTGAATTTTGAGCTCTTTATTTTCTCTTCTTCAGACAATAACAATGAATGTGAGATGTTCATCTGTGGGTGTGACAGAAAGGCTGCTGAGTGTTTTGCAAGATCTTCATGGAATCCTGAGCATGAGCACCTTCCCAGTGACCAGTGTCAATAAGACCTCTGCAAACAACTATATTGAACAAAGAATTCAATCTTTCAGATATGTCTATCCTTTTAAAAGTGATGTAACGCTCTTTCAGTGTAGAAATATTGTGATGGTTAACATGGGTAATGTGATTTAGTATGGAGCAGCCTATAACCATCCATAGCTTCCTACATTCACTAAATTGCCCATCTTGGATTGTAGTTGTGATCCTGCATTGTTTCCTCTGTTATATGACATTTGCCGAAGTATAATCTTTAAAAATTATTGCCAATAGAGAGCACTCTGCTCTACTTGTTTCCTTTTGTGGCCAACAAGAAAAAATTGAAAGGATATTATTGACATGGATTCTTTTGATGTTTGGTCTGTGTTGGCTGGATTCAGTATAATATCTGTAACAGTCTCATTTTGTAACACCAAACTTAAACTAATAAAAACTGAACAGTGAAGTGAAGTAGATCTCAAAAAGCAACACCTCTCAACAAATATAAAGATCATTTGGAGAATGGTTGATGTCAGTTGTTTCACATAAAAATTCATTGACATCTATCATTCTTGAAAGGCTTACAAAACCATTTCTAAGGCTTTGAGACTCCACTGAACCACGGTGAGAGGTGGGACCTAATATCCATAAATAGAGAAAACTTGGAACAGTGATCAAACTTCACAGGATTGGCTGACCTACTAATATTACCCTAAGAACGCATGGACTAGTCATCCAGGAGGTTAAGTTAAGGCTAGAGTCATCCTCATCCTAGCATCCTTTATTCTATTGCATTGGCACATCGAACTGGTTGTGCCACCCTATGCATTAGGTTTAGCGGGCAATTACTTTTTTTACATTGTGCCAGACAAATTTGGAAAGCTTTTTTTCTTATATATTAAATCATATTTTGCATTTTTTATTCTGTATTTGCTCAAGTGGTCTTTTTCTGATAGAAAATTTGGTTTAATGACCTGTAACATGTAAGTCTGCCAAATTTGCATTAAAACAAAACACACAAATTGGCAAAGGAAGCTTTTTCATAGCACTGCTTTCACAGCATTTTTATTTATTTAAAAATAAGACACTTTGCATCAAGCACTATAATGTAGCATTTGTAACATATACAAATACACATGATATACAAAATATACAAATACAAATAATTCTACTAAGACTTACCTCTAGTCATTTTGTGTACTATTATCATCAACTATATCAACTATAATCATTTAATCTTGAACGAAAAAAAATCGTTTGCCTTTCATTGTTGCAACTCTTTGGGTGGCCCATTTTTCTGGATTGACTGAATGTGACTGTTATAGATATAGACCAATGACTGTAGAAAACATGGATGACGCAACCACACCTCCTCCCACTGTGCAAAAATGAAGCCAAAATATCCCGCTTGTGGAGGCTAGCCTTTTGGCTTAATTTTTGCACAATGGTAGGAGGCGGTGTCGTGTCGTCCATCTTTTCTACAGTCAATGCGTTAAAACAGTCGATCGTGTTTTTGTAACGTAAACGCTGGCCCTCCTCTCAGCATCCCGCTCTATCTGCTATTCCCAAACAGCTGCCAGGCAAAGCTGTCATGATGACGTTACACCCCAATTTAACATCACCGCGGTAGGAATTGGAATCAAAATTATGGAAAAGGAGACCCCTTGGACATAAATCAGTGTGATGAGAACTATTGATAACAAAAGAAAGAGTCTTTG